GGGTTCAGTCCTCAGCTCCAGAAAATTAAAAAAAAAAAAACAAAAAACTGTCTTCTTAAACAACACTTTCATGCCCCGGCTACGTGAGAACGTTACTCATCCCTGCATCTCCCCAAACTTGCCCTACTCATGTTCTCCGGAACATTTCTCAGATTGCGTCCTCTCCTTTACTCTGTAGTATTGATTGTCTTCCACCACCAGAATCAAGATCTCAAAAGGCCAGGGTTTGCTTCTGTGGTATCCACTTGGTGGCAATAACATGGCTCCATTGGTGCCAAGAGCAGAGACTCAGTAAGTGTTGGTGAATAAATTAGTGTCTCGTAAGTATCTCTTCTGTTTCCCCCAGACTGCTGCAAGCATTAGACATTTACTTGAGGATTCTATTGATGCCTGTAGTTACTGTAGAGATCTTCCCATTAAAGTCTGGTTGGGGAGTAAAATTAACCCTCTCGGCTCTTCTTCTCACACCTCAGTAGTGAGGTAAGTCATGAGAGGAGAACTGGGCAGTTCTCGAAACAGTATGATGACCAAAAAGAGAAGTAAAACCAGTACTGAAATTGTCCTATTAGAGGATAAGATTCAGAGAACTGGGTGGTTCAAAACTCACACCAGAATCCTGGGGCGCACAAGCTGCACAAGTCAAATCATGACGATACTTTCTGAGCTTGGTCAGATCCTCACCTACTTTAAGACAAATAGCATTTGGAAAGTGAAAACCTCAGTACCAGAAGACGCTTAGTTTGGTCCAGACAGTGGAGTTCACACCCGTTGTTGGCTAAAGAGGTAGTTCAATGGTTAGAGTGCTTGCTGCTCTTGCAGAGGAGCCGTGTTTGGTTCCCAGCACTCATATAGCAGCTCGTAACTGTCATAACTCCAGTTCCAAGATTCAAGAGCCTCTTCTGTTCTCCTTGGCCACTGCATGCACTTTGTGCACACACACACACACACACACACACACACACACACGCACGCACGCACGCACAGGGAAAAAAAGACAAAAAATAAAAAACTCATACACATAAAATAAAAAAGAAGGCACTGGAATGAAGGGATTCCTCCCTTGTCTGATGCCAAGATGCTACTTACCCCATGTGCCCAATTCACTTCCCTGTGCACTCAAGGAAGGCCCTTCCCTACGGCAGACAAGGAGCAAGGACTCTGCATGATACTACCAGTAACAGGTCTACCTCATTGTTTGTAGGTACTTTGGAAAACGGGAGGCACATAGTGAGAGCTCTGAATGGGCTCCGGATTCAGGGGCCCTCCCTTGCAGCAGCAGCTGATCAAACAGAGGCCCTACTGGATTTGAAGCCTTCCACATGGGCGTCTGTGAGTAAACAGACGTGCATCATCAGAGCATCCACTGGCTCTCACAGCTGCAAACTTCAGTGACATCAGGAGCACCTGCAGTCTGTTTAGAGCATGCAACCCCCCAGCTAACCCCACCCAGTGCTTCTGACTCTGCTGGTCTGGGACAGGCCCAAGGAAGCTGCTTTGTAAGACGCCTTGGGACATACATAGACAGGCTATGCTTTGAATGCCACCTTTCAATCTTTGTTTTTTAAGATTTGTTGATTTGATTTTATGTGTGTGAGTGTTTTGCCTACCTGTGTGTTTCTGCACTATGTTTGTGCTCAGTACCTTGGAGGCCAGAAGAAGTAACAGATCCCCTGGAATTGGAGTTACTGATGGTTGTGAGCCCCTGGGTGGTGACTGGGAACCCAAACTGGGGCCTCTGAAAGAGCAGCAAGGGCTCTTAACCCCTAAGCATCTCTTCAGCCCCCATCTTTAAATCTTAATGGAGTCACTGAAAAACCTTGTACTAAATCCTTAAATAATGAGTTCATCCTTGTGACTGTTAATCTAGGCATTCATTAAGAGACTACCAGCTATCTCTACTGCTTATCTAAGTTTGGAATTCCAGCTCCTTCCTCCCTCCCTCCCTCCCTCCCTCCCTTCCTTCCTTCTTTCCTCTCTTGCCTCCTTCTTTTAGACAGAGTCTAGCCCAGGCTAGCCTCAAACTCGTGATTCTTCTGCTCCTGCTTCCCTAGTGCCAGGATGATAGACATGGTTCCTCCATGCCCAGCCACCTCTATAATTAGGCACATCCAACCTTTTGACATTGCAAAAAGATGTTATCTACAAAGTTCACGCTTGGGAAACACACAATTGGATTTTTAAACATTGCAAAAAAAAAAAAATCACATAAAGTTTTAAGTATGTTTGCGTTTAGCTGCATCCATAGCCATCCTCAGCCATGTATAGCCTGAGTGACAGACAGATTTGTGGACAACCAGCTTTTACGCTTAGGCAGGTTAACCTTTCCTTTAGTTATTATTGGGGATGACGAACTCAACACAAGAAAATGGTTCTTCAAGATCATAGTCTGTGACAGCATGGGAATAACACAGACTGCTTGAGGAAGCATCAAGTAGGTCAGCCTGTCACCAGTGTCAGACCCCTACAGGTCACCAGCACCCATATCACCTGGTAAAGAAAGGAAGAGGCACCCCAACCCGCTGCTGCTATCTGCTCCCCGCATCTCCTTGGAATGGAGGGATAGTTCAAACAAAGTGACAGGGACGGCTCTTGAGCTGCTCCACACGGGCTACTTCACTGAATGAGTGTTTGAATCACAGGCATGGAGAG